AATAGAATTTGTCAATTATTAAACATTGTTTATGGTAATTATTGTATCACATTTAATATTAAAATTATTAGGTAGTATTTTTATAATTAAGGTATAATATTATTAAATCAAAATTATTAAAAGTAATGTATCCACAATATAAAATAAATTATACTTGTTTTAATAATCATTTTTTAATGCTACTGACTTTATTACATTGTATTAATATAGATTTACAATGATCATATTAATATAAATTTACAATTATAAATTTGTATAAGGAAAATATAGAAATTTCTGGTAAAAAAAATCTCACCATTTTCTTTTTGTCTTTCCTCACCCTCACATTCTCACACTCTTTAGAAAAATGCAAAGTAGGATGATAAATGACCTCTATCTACAACGTCTCACCCCTCAATTCGATTTAGCTTTTGCTTGATTGCTGTTTTGGCCAACGAACCACGTAAATCCTTAACGATGCTTGTTAATTAAAAAAAAAAACATAGAAACTTGAATGACATGTACAAATGTCGAAGCCAACATACTAATTCTAAGTTTCATAAAATCTTACAAAATTATCAAAATCACCATCATTATCATCATCGATCGCATCTCTACGCTCTTCCATAAAAACCAAACCATTAGAGTTCTATTACCAAGCCTCTTCCTCCTCAATTTCTTTTTGTTGAAACCCATTCACAGTAGGCTAGAGGTCCTGCTTTTTAATCAGGTAACCACAACACAAAAAATCACAATAAATTGATGAAAACAACCAATCCAACATGCAAAATGCAACACTTTGATCTCTTGGTATTTAAAGAAAAAATGTCAAAATCAAATAACATATACCCCAAATATACATACATTTACACCAGTAACTAAACATACATTTGGACACACTGTAACAACATATCCTGATATACAAACCCCTAAAATCGAAATCAAGAAGAAAACGTGAACATAGTTTATACCTATTGGAATCATAATATTACCTTGGAATGAACTATGAGATCTGAGCCCCCTAGCTTTGCAGGCTGCATTCAGAAACAACCACAACCATATAAAACTTAGAAGTCAAATTAAATCATGAACCGAAGAACAATATAGAGTGCAAATGAAAGTATAATCTGTATTTATAGGTGGAAAATACTAATTCAAAAGGAAAGTATAATAGTTTGTAATTAAGGTAATAACATTATTATTATTATTATTATTATTATTATTATTATTATTATTATTATTATTATTAAATGAATGATATTACAGAAATGCCCCTAATTCTTGGGGAGAAAACTTGGCTAGGAGAATTTTACTTTTATATAGATATATAGATATAGATATATAGATATATAGATATAGATATAGATATAGATATAAATATAGATATAGATTATTATTCTGCCGCCCATGTTTAAAAAGAAAAAAAGAAAAAAAAAAAAAACTCAACAAAACCCTTGTATTCAAAATGAAAAATGACACTTGTAATACTTTTTCCTCATGAATTATTAATATATTTACAAATATTCCTTTATTGTATTTTTCTTTTCATAGATTTTCAAAAAAATCTGCAAATTTCTTTTCCTTGAATCTCAACTACCAAAGATTTTCTTGTCTACAATTTTGCTTAATTAGTCGTGGTAGTTGAGCCTGAGTTTAAATTAGACTATAAATATGGCCAAGTACTTCCTCCGTCTCATTTTATGTGTTTCGTTCGATTAACGAAGTTTGACTGAAGTTATTTTGAATTTAATTTACTATAATATTAAGTTTAATATTAGTATGTAAAATTTATATATTTTGATTTAGAAATGTACACTAAAAGTACTTTAAACACAACAAATCAAAATTTGAAAATAAGTAAAAAATATTAAAGAAAATAAACAAAGAAAAAAAAGTTTTTTCCTTTCAAAAAAAAAGTTGGTTTAATCAATAAATAGTAGGTAGGACATATAAAATGAGACAGAGAGAGTATCAATTTGTGAAAAGATTGAATTTACAACTTAATTAATAATTAAATAATCAAATTTCTAGCAAAGCACCTTGTGTTCAGATGACACCTTTGTGGCTCCCCTTGAGGGAAGGTCATAGGATCGAACTCCGGTAGTGGGGTATTGATTCTTTGAGCTACATTAGATAGAGAAAATAGAGTATTATAAACTCTATTAGAAGGTAATATTTGGACCTCAATTTTTAGTTGTTTTTTTTTTTTTTTTTTTGTTTGTATATATATAATATATTATTTGTCTAGAAAAATGAAAAAAAAAAAAACATAAAATGTATCTTTTGAAAAAAATATATTTTTTAATACTATTAACTCTATTAGAAGGTAATATCTGTTTTATACTTTTTGTAACTACTGTAGTCAAAGAGTCAATACCCCATTATCGGGGTTTGATGTGTGAACTTCCCTCAAAGGGAGCTATTAAAGTGCCATCTGAACACAAGGTGTTTGGCTTGAAAATATTTCTTAAATCAATATGAAAATTGAAACCCAAAAATGAACTAAAAGACTAAGGAATTTTTTTTTTTTTTTTTTTTTTGAAAACAAAACTACAAACTCTTATATAATCATTGAGTCACTACACAAGGCACAAGTAATAAACGAGGGGATGGTATCAAACCAAAACCGACTACCCAAATACATACTAGCATCTCTAGCTAATAAATGAGCAACAACATTAGTTGAGCGGGCGCTTAACAAAACGAAGATGAACATTTGCAAATAAAGATAAACAAGCATTAATATCTTGAATGATTAACCGGCAACATATTCACATTATGAAGTTGAGTGACAATCTGTTGTGCATCCGTTTCAATTGTAAATCCATCATAATTATGCATCTTTAGCCAACTCAAAACTTCCCGACCGCCAATGCTATACGAATCGCATGGATACCCCCAATCTCCTCCCGCCTCCTCAATATACTGCTAAACCCTTTCATAACTAAAAGGAAAAGATACGGGGATAACGAATCTCCTTGACGAATCCCCCGACAAGGAATAAAATGCCTCTTCTCTTCCCCCTCAAGGAGCACATGATAAGTAACAGTAGAAACACAATGAAGGATTAAGGAAACCCAGTGGCAACCAAACCCCGTCCGCCTCATCTCACCCTCTAAAAAACCCCATTCAACCTTATCATAGCCTTACTCATATCGAATTTTAAGACCGCATATCTCTCCTGCCTCTCCTCCTTTCATCTGTGCAGATAATGATTTATCTCATAAGCCAATAAAACATTATCAACAATAAACCGATCTAACACAAACACACTATGAGTTTCTCCCACAAGCCCTCTCAAAATACATTTAAGCTTATAGCAAAAACCTTTGCCACAACTCTATACAACACATTATACAAAGAAATAGGCTGAAAGTCACTCATATTTTCCGGATAACGATTCTTAGGAATAAGCACAATATTGGTTTTATTTATACCATAAGGCAGAATACCCTCCTCAACTGCACCCCTACACATCAAGAGAACCTCATCACCTACAATATCCCAGTATGCTTGATAAAACCTTAGGTTCAGCCCATCAGGCCTCGGGAATTTATTAGGGAACATACTAAACAGAGCAGCCTTTACCTCCTCCCCGTAACCACCCCTAACAGCCCCTCATTCTGATTCGGAGTCACCCTCACTTGAATTGCATTTAAAACAAGTTCATACCAACCAATCCCAGACTGGAACAACCCTTAGAATACCCCAAAACCACATTTCCCACCTCCAGTTTATCAACAACCCAGTACCCAGAGACATCCTGAATTTTTTTAATGTCATTTCTATAACGACAGGCTTTTGCTTGATTATGAAAATATCGCGTATTCATATCCCCATCCCTAAGCCAAAATTGCTTAGCCTGTTTTCTCCAGTACCCACTCTCAGACTCCAGCAACCTCAAGTAATTACGTTGAGCCTCATCAAACTTCCTCCTCCCTCCCATATCCCGCTGACCCCGCAACCTCTCCATTCGACCCCTCTAATATTCCAATTCTTTACGAAATTCCTTCGTACGCTCCCCCCTCTCCCCGCCCCGCCCCCTTACTCCCTCAGCCGAACCCCACATTGTTTAATTTTCTGCAAAATGTCCTAATCATTTGACTCACCCCAAACCGTATCAACTTGCTCCCTACAATCCACCTCCTTCATCCAATTTTGCTCAAACCGAAAACCAACCTTCCGACCCTGAGGCACATGGCGTTCAGGAACTAGAAGAAGAGGAAGGTGGTTACTCCCACCACACTGTACTGATCTTGCCCACGCTCCTCTATACAAAATTTCCCAACTTTTGGAAACAAGCACCCTGTCCAACTTCTCCTGAACCCACCCGTTCGAATCTTCGCTCCCCCCTCCCAAGTATACTGATACCCAGTAAAAAGAAAATTCACCAGCCCACTATCCCTCAACATTTGTGTACAGAATTTACAAAAGAGTTAATGCCACATGCACTACTGGAAATTATAGAATATCTGACCACCTGAAAGTGATCTTAAATCAAGTCGAAAGTAAAAAGTGGTCGAAAATAGCAACAAAAGTTTTTCCGGATACCAAAAGTGGTCGGAACAAGGCTTTCGACTTGATTTAAGATCACTTTCAGGTGGTCGGAAATTCCATAATTTTCAGCAGTGATGGGGTCCTCCGAGTATAGTGGTTTTGCCATGTTTAGTCTTAAACTTTCAAATTGACCATCTGTGGTCCTTTAACTTTCAAATTTAACCATTCGTAGTCCAAATTAACCACAAATGATCTTTCAACTTTTGAAATTTAACCAGCCGTGGTACCCTCGAAAGGACCATGGTTAGTTAAAATTTAACAGTTGAAGGATCATAGATAATTAACTTGGACCACGGATGGTAACAATTTGAAAGTCGAAAGACTACATATGATCAATTTGAAATTTTAGAACTAAATGTTTAACACTTTACAAAAGAGTTAATACCATCTGAGGTCCTCCGAGTATAGTGGTTTTGCCATGTTTAGTCCTAAACTTTCAAATTGACCATATATGGTCCTTCGACTTTCAAACTTAACCATTCGTGGTCCAAGTTAACCACACATGGTCCTTCAACTATTAAATTTTAACCATCCATGGTCCCTTCATGAGGACCACTACTGGTTAAATTTCGAAACTTGAAGGGCCATGGATGGTTAACTTGGATCACGAATGGTTAAATTTGAATGTCTAAGGACCACAAATGGTCAATTTGAAAGTTTAGGACTAAACGTGACAAAACCACTATACTCAGAGGACCTCAGATGGTATTAACTCCTTTACAAAATGTTGATACTAAGAACGTGCTTGATTTTATAGAAATCTTCTCCCGAGAAACGTTGTTTCTCGCCTTCACGTTTGAGCGTGGGGGACATTTTGGGCATGTTTAGAATACTCACTTCTCGGAGACGAGTGAGCAATTTGAGCCCCTCTGGGAGATTTTTAAGGCTCTGGCATCTTTCAACGGTGAGAGTAGAAAGGTTACGCATAGATCCTTCTCGAAGAGTCCAATCCCTCAACTTGTGCAAATTTGAGAGTTTGAGATATCTGAGGCGGGGAAAACTTAATGCTTTACAATCCATTCCGCCCCCAAGATAGGCTCCATTGCATATGATAAGTTTGTGTAATTGGGGGATTTTCCCCAATACTGGCATCGGATCTTCAGTAAGTTCAGAACCAAGCAAGAAGAGCTCTGTGAGCTTGGAGGAAATAGGGATAGTGAATGATAAGTTGCCTATGTGCCCCTCCACGCGCAAGGCGTTCAAGTATTCACACCCCAGTAGGTTACTTAGAGCAGAGAGTCGTTTGTGAGAGTAACAATCAAAGTTTTTGAGGACAATGGATGTTGATATGAATCTGTGTTCGTTTATGCATTTGATAGTCTCCCCGAGGTCATCCAGGTTTCCCTCAATAGTTGCCGTCAAATACTTGAGTTTTTCAAGTCGGGGGAGATCTTTACACCGACAATGGGTTGAAGCAAAGTTGTTGAGATTCTCAAGCTCACTTAAGCCATCCAACTGCAATTTCTCACCAACTGCATGAAATTTTTGAGGGAAATAAAGACTCTTCAATCTTGTAATCTTATACAACAGATTAGATATGCTCATGTCAACCGTGGGGTTAACCCGCAAATCAAGAATTTCCAAGTTTGGCAACCTGCCGATGGATGGCGGCAACTCTTGCAAGTTGCAGCTTCTGAAACTCAGGTACCGCAGGGTTGCGAGATTCTGGATGTCTTTTGGCAACTTCATGACATGAAAGTCAAGTGAATTAAAGTCTAACACCCTTAGTAATCTGCAATTCTTAAAAGTTAATGATTTTGGCACTAATAAATGCTCATCCGGTACCAGTTGGTGGGCATTCAGAAACAAAAATGATCTTATTTTCCTAGATTTGTTTGGGTTGGGAAAATCATACCCACCGACACGCTTGTCAAAATAAATGGCAAGTGTGCGCACATCAGTAGGCTTGTCTTGATTACCATTCGCAACAGCTCTAAGGTCCACGGATGCGAACAACCTTTCCTCTTTTGCCTTCTGACAGCATAGTTCTCGCACCAAGTCATGAAGACGCCATGATTTGATCTTTGTTAACATTGGTGTTTCCTCTTCTTGAACCTGGACCAAGCCTACGTTCGCTAGTTCTTTCAGATATGATTCTGCGGTGGACAGCATGGTGGAATTGCAATCTGTGGGTATCAACCCTTCAGCGATCCACAGATTGTACAACTTCTCTGCTTCTGTATCTGTGTCTTTTGGAAAAACTGCCAGATAAAGTAAACAGCTCTTCAGATTCCCGGGCAAAAGATTATAAGACAACTCTAAAGTGTCTTTTACGGAAGTAAACTTTTTGTGTAATAACTTCCACTCATCGATGGAGTGTTTCTCTGCCATCAAGTCTCCCAGCACCATTATCTTTAATGGCACATCATTACACTTTTTGACTACATCTCTGCATATATCTTTCAACTTCTGGTTCTCTTCAAATTCTACATACCAAAAAATATATTATAGAACGAATTTAAATTCTGCATGCATGTATATGTATTTAATCAATCATATGAGTTAAATAACCAAGATGGAATTTAATTAACCTGATCTGTGGCTAGGCAATTGCTTTTGGAGAAACAGCTCCCAACTTTGAGCTTCACTTAATGGTTCCATTTTTAGAATATGTCCTTCCCTCCCTAAAATCTTCTCAGCTTGATATGTTTCCCGAGTGGTAATCACAACTCTGCTGCGAATTCCAACAGTGGGCAGAGCAATTAGGGAAGCCTCCGTTGAGCGGACATCATCAAGAATAATGAGGTATCTCCCAGACTGCAAGGATGAGTGAAGGCTCTGCGCCAAAGCACTATCACTTAATTTCATCATTTCATCCTTTCTCCCGGGCTCAATCTGTGACATGATATCCTGCCAAAGGGTTTTGGCTTGGACCTGGTGGGGTGCAGTGACCCAAGCACACCCCATAAATTTATGTCGGACATCAGGCGTGTTGAATACCTTCAGCACCAGTGTAGTTTTGCCCAAACCTCCCTCCCCGCACACAGCGAACAAGGGGTACTCTGCAGTGTCCTTCTCCAGAAATTCCATCAGAATCCTAATATCTGCTTCCCTTCCAACTACAACTTCATTCACTGCTCCTTTTTCTTCACGTCTGGCTGTCGGCGACGGAACCCATTTTTTTGATTCTTCCATTTCTTTCTCCAATTCCTCCATCTCTTCTCGAACTTCATTTATACTCAACTGGAGGTGAGGAAGTTGGAAGTGACACAACAACAAAGTGAATAAACTTTTTACGATCCCACAGCCTCCTTTCCGCCGGTTGCATCTCCAGAAAAGCCGTGATGCATTATCTTCAATATCACCAATCTTACGACAAAATTCTTCGACTTTGTGCCTCCAGGCAGCCACCTTCTCGTCCTCGTTTTGGTTTTCAAGCTCCTGGAGTCGCTTGAGCTCTTGGAGTCGCTTGAGCTCTTGGAGTCGTATCAGATGCCATCCGAGATCATTGACTTCATCAACCAGCAAACTCTGTTCCGGCATGATTGTTGGTTTCTCTTTTTCACAGCGACTTTGCTGGATGCACCTTCAAGAGAATAAACACGCGTAGCTTTGCTTGTCCTAGACATTTACACAATATACACCAAAGTCTATTAAGTGCCGCTGGCCTTCCTGTCATAATCAGTACTCTAAAACACCGCAGGTCCAAGCAGGGGCGGACCTATATAAAGCTGTCCCCATCTCAGAAATTACTCCATATTTCTAGATGATGTGAGTTTTTGTTAGCAATTCTCATTTATTTTATTTTATCATGTCACTTAGCAAGCTTGCATCTACAACAAAAGCTGCCGAGGTGACATTTTTTTTTTTTTTTCTTTTCTGAGTTACGTTCTGTTCTTTTTTTTTTTTTTTTTTTTTTTTTTTTTTTTTTTGTTTTGTTTTGTTTTGTTTTGTTTTTTTTTTTTTTTTGTTTTGTTTTGTTTTGTTTTTTGTTTTTGTTTTTGTTTTTGTTTTTGTTTTTTGTTTTGTTTTGTTATTTATTTTATATATATGTAGTTTTGGTTAATGATTTTTATTTTGTTATTAACTAATTTATTTACCAAGACTATTGTTATAAAAATGGAGTGTTTGATGATAGGGAAGTGAGGAAACAGGATCTTCAGGCATGTGATCACTTTCCTATAAGCTTTAAATCTCCCTTATATTTTTTTTTTTTGAATGCTAAATCTCCCTTATATAAAGCAACAAGGTTCAAGATTTAATCTTATGGGATACAAGAAGATGATGAAATTCTTAAGTTGCTTGTTTAAGAACTTCCTGTTGAAATGCAGTACTTTGAAATATCTCAGTTTAATGCAAGTTTATTGCATGTCTATTTTTCAGACATTTCTCCAAGTATTTATAGATGTAAATACAGCAGTTTGGAGAAGTTACATGGAAGTTAATTATTTAAATTTAAAACTTAACTTCCATAAGATATATCTTATCTGATATATCAAGCATGGGAAATATATAATTGAATATTATATATATTCATACATACGGACCTTCATAGGTTCATGCACTGCATACAATATAATATGTATATTATATTTATTTATTATTCATTGCATATTAATATGCAAAATAAATAAACTAATAATATATATTATAATAAAGACATGCATGCAGCAGCCATAAACTACACAAAATGAAAGCAATATTTCGTTACTTTCATTAAGGCCGAAACAAGATAATATATATATATATATATATATATATATATATATATATATTACTAGCATGCATGATTCAACATAAGCCAAAGTGAACTTACGATGCCGAAAGTGAAATTTCATTTAAATGAAAGTTCACTTTCGTTATCTCCACTTGGCCGAAAGATGTCAAAATGCCGAAAGGTTTCATTTGGCCGAACGGTTTCATTTGGCCGAAACTTCATATAGCCGAAACTTCAACCATACGAAAACATATTTCCCAACTTACTTTCTACCAAACTAAAATAATATTTATAACTCCACAACTCCAAATATTATTTAAGCTTTTCATGGTAGTTCATCTGAACCATTAACTCTCATTACTATATAAATCTCTAACATTCCTCCTCCATTTATATAGTAAAAATTAATACTGTACCAAGATAGATCCAAAGACTCATGCATAAATGAAAGTGTCTTACAGATTGAACTTTCACATAGTATTATATGCGTTACATTAATTCGGATTGCAGTGATGGACGAACCTTGAATCACGCAGTCTCTTTGAAAAAACGTAGATACAATACACACAAGCTTTACAGTTACTACAACTCAAAATAACTTGACACTATTAAAGGCCCTGTGTCCGTATCCATTCATAAGCATTTCCAAGCCAAACCCAAACTTGTTGAAGCGGCCACACTTCATGCTCACATAGGTTGATCTTTTATTTCATGCCCTGCACCAAGCATTTTTTCAAAAGATCAATTAAGAGTTAAACTCATCCCTACTACAATGCAGACCAAGTACTTACTTTAGGGATACCTTTTAATATAGTACTTGCCGCCAATAAATGAAGTAATCATCTACATTGAACTCAAGGCCTAACGTGATAACTTAGGCGTGAATTGAGCTTTCCTTCACCTCTTGACTATCAACGGGTTTCAAACCTATCCCTTCCGATGTCTTAAAACCATGTCCCTTGCCAAGGCTTTTGTAAACGGATCCGCTAGATTGAACTGGGACCGTACAAAGTCTAGTGCTACAACACCATTACTTAAGAGCTCTTTCACATAGCTATGTCGCAAGCCTATGTGTCTTGACTTGCCATTATAAACACTGTTATATGCTTTGGCCAGTGTAATAGCACTGTCACAATGTACTAAAACAGGTGACATCGGTTTTGGCCAAACTGGAATTTCAAGAATTAAATTCCTTAGCCAATCAGCTTCTTTGCATGCTGCTGCCAATGCAATAAATTCAGATGCCATAGTTGAGTCTGAAATACAACTTTGCTTTTTAGAAGCCCAGGAGATAGCACCTCCTCCAAGCAGAAATACCCATCCACTAGTTGAGGAATAATCTTCCTGATTAGATATCCAACTGGCATCAGAATATCCTTCAAGGATGGAAATATCTTTTGAATATTTTAAACCATAATTAATGGTTTTATTCAGATATTTTAAAATTCTTTTTAATGCCATCCAATGTACTGCACTAGGATTACTAGTGTATCTACTCAGTTTCCCTACCGCAAAAGCAATATCAGGCCGAGTACTTGTCATTGCATACATAAGGCATCCTATCACTTTAGAATACTCCAATTGTAAGACCGGATCACTTTCATTAGGAATTAACTTCAATGAAGGATGCATTGGAGTAGAAACTGGGGAACCACTAAAGTGATTAAATCTTTTTAACACTTTCTCAATGTAATGAGATTGTGTTAAACTTACACCATCCTGAAGTTTAATTATTCTTATCCCAAGAATAACTTCTGCTTCTCCTAAATCTTTCATGGAAAAACTGGAACTAAGAAAATCCTTAGTTTCCTTAACCTTTTCCAAATCAGTACCAAAAATCAACATGTCATCTACATATAAGCAAATAATAACCCCTTGTCCTTGGTTATTAAATTTGCTGTAGATGCATTTATCTGACTGATTTATTCTGTACCCATTAGCTAGCACCACTTGATCAAACCGATCATGCCATTGCTTAGGGGCTTGTTTTAAGCCATAAAGTGACTTAATCAATTTGCAAACTTTATTTTCTTGGCCTGCAACCACAAAACCTTCTGGTTGCTTCATGTAAACCTCCTCCTCCAATTCACCATTTAAAAATGCAGTCTTAACATCCATTTGGTGAACCACTAGATTGTGTATAGCCGAAATGGCAATTAACAATCTAATAGTAGCAATTCTTGCTACTGGAGCATAAGTGTCAAAGAAGTCAACTCCTTCTTTCTGCTTAAAGCCCTGTGCGACAAGCCTGACTTTAAATTTATCAATGGTACCATCAACTTTCATTTTCTTTTTGAAAATCCACTTGCAGCCTATTGGTTTACAACCATTTGGTGGATTAGTTAAAATCCACGTATTATTCCCCATTATAGAATCCATCTCATCATTTATTGCTTCTTTCCAGAAAGCAACATCTTGAGAATTCATGGCTTCCTCAAAAGTATTAGGATCATCCTCTATATTAAAATAATATAGATTTTTAGTCTCTGTAGACTCCCTTGATCCTTCTATCAAGTACATTTGGAAATCTGGTCCAAATGTCTTTTCCTTTCTTGTTCTTTTACTTTTTCTAAGCTCAGGTTCCTGTGAACTTGCATGATCATGAATTTGATCATCAACTTTGGTCCCACTAGAACTAGGAATTAAATCCTTAGTTCTATTTATTGATGAAAAACGATTTTCATCAAAAATAGCATCTCGGGACTCTATTACGGTATGAACCGAAATAAAGTCATTTGGTTCTATAACATAGAACCTGTATGCTTTGCTGTGTTCTGCATATCCTATAAAAATACAGTCTATGCCTTTTTCTCCCAGAGCCTTCCGTTTAGGTTCCGGCAACCGTACCACGGCCCTGCAACCCCAAACTTTCAAAAAATTTAAGTTTGGTTTTCTTTTGTGCCAAAGTTCATATGGAGTTACCCTATTTCTTTTGTTAGGAACTCTGTTGAGAATATAACATGCAGTTAGCATGGATTCTCCCCAGAAACCTTCACTCAGACCGGAAACTGATAACATGCAGTTTACCATTTCTTTGAGTACTCTATTTTTCCTTTCTGCTACACCATTTTGTTGTGGTGTATAAGGAGATGTGGTCTCATGAATGATACCAACAGATTGGAAAAATAATGGGTCATAATATTCACCACCTCTGTCAGTACGTAATATTTTTACTAACTGATTAGTTTACAATTCCACCTCCAATTTAAATATTTTAAATTTTTCTAAGGCTTCATCCTTAGAATGCAGGAGGTACACATAGCAGAGTCTTGAATAGTCATCAATGAATGTGACTATATATTTTTTATTTCCCAAAGATGGGGTGCTATGAAAATCACACAAGTCACTGTGAATTAATTCAAGTAAAATTGAATTCCTTTTTATACTAGGAAAAGGATTCCTAGTTATTTTATTCAACATGCAGCATTGTTCCATATTCAGATCAAAGGATGGAATTAATCCATCTTTAGCCATCTCACATACACGTTTATAGTTCACATGACATAAACGAAAATGCCATAATGAAGATGTACAAACTGAATACACAGAACCAACAATATTATTAATATTCAACTTAAACATATTGTTAGACAGAAATCCTTGGCCTACAAAGATACCGACCTTGGATAAAATAAATCTGTCTGCTTCAAAAACAAGTTTAAAACCACACTTGTTTAATACAATGCCAGAAACTAAATTTTTTCTAACATCTGGGGCATGATATACATCTGTGAGTGTTAACTTCTTTTCTGAAGTAAGCAACAACTCAACTTGTCCAATGCCTTTGACTTTCACCATGGAATCATTTCCCATGTATAGGCTTGGACCATCATTCAGACTTTTATAAATCTTATAAAGATTTATATCCTTGC